AAGGAGGCGGTCCGGTCCGGAGGACGCGGGAGCAGCAGGGTTCGGTTCATCCGAGCTGCGCCGTACACTGTGGACCATGACACGTGCCCCACCCGTGCGGAGCCTTGCATTGGCAAAGCCACCGTGAGGCCTGCTTCAAGGTCACAGTGAGCGCAGGTCGGGGCTGCCATCCCAGCACGCTGTTGCTGCTCCTTTGTGTCTTCCGATGACTGTCACCAGTGCAACAGGCACGGACTAGCCAGATGCCAGTGAATGTGAGCCAGCTCTGCCTCAGTTTCCCACCATCAGACTGTGACCCCAAATGCTTCTCACCAACACTTGTACGCACACGCACGCGTGCTTGGCATGTACCTCGCAGTGCAGTGGCGAAACCTCCCATGAGAACCCCCTGCATTTCCAGCTGTCATGCCCAATAGTTTGCCAAGGAGTATAGCCAGGAAGGGCAAGGTCAAAGTGGCGGAACCGCCGGTATCACATTGATACTGCTTATGTGGGATTTTTCTTTTTCTTTTTTTAAACTGTGAAGGGTCTGGCAGATCTTAGGTGAACGGATGTTTTTTTCCTTTGTTTTTCCGAAGTGTCACTTGCCAGAAGGAAGGCACTTCCATCAATAGAAACAATGAAAGCATGTCTCAAAAAGATACTTATCCCTCTAAGTTCTGAAAGCACAGGAGGGAAGAAGAACCACGTATTCCACTTGGGCTACAAAGTGCTAATGAAACACTAACTTCCATTCTCCCAGAGGTAAAGCTTCAATGTTATTTTTTAAATGACATGAAACATCCCAACCTTCTTCTTCTTTTCATTGTTATAAAAACTATTTAGCAGCCATATCTGTTTAGTTATTTAGGCATCTCAATGGTGTAAATATTATCAGTGCAGTCATAAATATTTTCTGCTTTGTCCACAGACAGTCGGTTGAGGATCTGCTGCTTGTAGGGTTTGAGATCTATTTTAGGCTGCCTGCTGGCTACAAAATAATTACTTACACTCACTAATGCCCGAGTCTGTTGGGTTTAGCTGCAAGAAGTTCTTTGTTTTCCCAAGTAGCGAGAAGCTGTTTTCTTATGTGAATTTCTTTGTTGATGGTATTAGACAGGATTAGGGCGGGGCTGAAGTGGTTGAAAATGTAATTAATCTAATCCCTTTAACAGCAATTATTTTTATATTGATAATTCTCTGTAACAACAGTATTACAGATCACAACCCTGTGAAATATTTACTGTCAGTATTTTAGCAGAAAAACCTCTGCTCGGGCTTTCTTTTTCTAGGACGGGAACATTTTCGGCTCCTTTGTCCTTCTTCCCTTTCTCTCTCACCTGAAATGCAGGCTTTCTCCTCGGGAGACCAGAGTCATATTTTTCATCCTGCCGATTCTCTCTCGGTGCCGTCGTCTCTCAGCAAGTTATGTTAATGGCCATCAAATCATTAATCTCCTCGAAGAGCATGAGTAAGAAATAAGAAGTGTCATTGATTTCTCTCTCTTTCTTTCTTTTTTTTTTCGTATCTGCAGTCATTTGGTTTAGATTCTCATGTGCAACAATTTATTTACTCATCAATTTTAATAAATTTTTATGATGTTAAAGTTACCACTAAGACGAATAAAGTCAGATGAAGGACGGAACTGTCCTTCTGGTCAACCTCGGATCATCTCCAGTGCAAACTGGGGATTGTCCTCAGTCTGCACAAATGTCATGTCATCGAGGTGAGGCTCTCTGCAGTCTCCCAGGATAAAATGGCAATCAAAACCCCTCCTCCGATGCTATCCTTCCCTTTAATGGGCTTTATTTTTCTCCATAGCATGTAACATTATCAAACATTATACATCTGTTTACTTGGTGCCTCTCCTCCAACTAAGATAGATGCTCTGTTGAAAGCAGGGACTCGGATGTGTTTACTGCTGGATCTTGGGAGCCCATAGTAGGGCCTTAAATACAGTGATAGAGTAGGCAATCAGCAATTACCAAGTATGGTAGGCCATTCTCGAAGGCACGAGGCTTTCCTCTCATTGTTTCGGGTGCCTAAAGCCCCAGATCCGTGCAAAGCAGTGCAGCTCTCTCCTTGTCCCGGCATGCGTTTGGACAGCCGACACCGTGGTGTCAACATCAGCATTCACCCCAGGCTGGCTGTCCTGCTCAGCCCCAGCGGGAGTGTGTCCCCGTGATAGAAAGCAGGGACTGAGTGTTTTCATGAGCACGTCTTCATCCAAGAGCTAAAGCTTTGGGGTTTGCAGAGCTCCTTGGCACTCACATATTTACTGTTTTAAGAGCCATACGGAGCAGAGGGTCTCAAAGGGTGCTCTTCGGAACACTGGCTGTGTGCCGTAGAAGCAGGGGTTCCCAGGGCAAAAAGGGGGCCCCTGGTCAGAGATGCCTTTGAAACTAGGTGTTGCATGAGCTCAGGAAAGCTGCACTTCATGGCACCTTAGATGCATGGTCAAGCTCACTAGGTCTCTCTAACACAAAGCCTTAGGCTGTGCTTCCCAAACTCTTTTAGTCTCAGGTCCTTCCTTTTGGACCACCCAGCCCTGCACTCAGGCTGGGTTGCATCATGGGGAGGCCATTGCCTTGGGAGTGGGGCAGGCCAGGACAGGGGCAGGAGGAGGGGGTCCTGGCTCTGCCCCTCACTGACTCTGCTGTGTGACCATGGGCAAGTGACCTGACACTTCTCTGTGTCTCCGCTCCTCTCCGTAAGGTAGGGATGGCAAGGATTCCCTGGAATAAGGTAGTCAGGTGCCTGACCTATACATGCGATGTAAACAGTGCCGACTGTCCACACCTTTGATGGGCCGTAGGAATGAAAGCTTTTCAGACAGACATCTGCAAGCACGTTCTCTAAGACGGGTTTGCTAGTGTCGACCTATTCCCAGAACCAGGCCTCCGTGTCTCCCCCTTGGTTTCCATGCCCTCTTCCCCCTGAGAAGTGTCGAGCATCCTTGCCACAGTCAAAGAAATGCCATCTTTCAACACGACTCACCACAGATGTCTGAGAGCTCACATAGGCGATCCCGCAGGGTTGCTATCCTGGGTTTTGATACCCTTGACCTCAGAGGAAGACGCTTTTGTCAGAAGGAAGGTGAAAGCATCCAGTCTAACCATCGTGCAGATGGCTACGGGCTGATGGATTTTGCAGGGACTATGGTTTTGTTTTTTTTTTCAGTAAACTTCAAATGAAGGTGTGATTTGAGTAAATCTGACCCCTTCCAGTAAAATGTGCACTTACACATATTTAGAATGTATAAATGCCGACAGATTCCACAGTATTTATAGCCCTCCATAAAAAGCCTCTGCCTGTTTGTCGAGCTTTGCTTCTGGCTTTCTGCTCTGCTTAAAAGAGTTTAAATAATAATACATTTGGTGCTTTATTCCACCTGGAACAGAAACTTATTTTCCCCTCTCCGCTCGTTTTGAAGGGGTTACTATAAATAGTGCCACAGACGCTGGGATCAGGAATGGGGAATTGAAATTCGAGAGCAAAGTACGGCAACATTTCCATGATCACTGATGCTTCGACGGTATTTCCGAAGCAGTTCTGTTCCTCAGATTACGGACCTTCTCCTCTTTCTCTAGCCCCCTCCCCGTTCTCCGTGAGCCCCCCAGACCTGTTGCCGGCGCCGGGATCCAGTTGCATTAATGGGGAAGGGAGGGTGAGAGTATTAGCTGACCGGGGAGGCGAAGGTTACCCCTGGGGAGGCCGGAGCAGCTCTCCGATGTCCGTCTCCCATTTCACACGCGTCAGCTGGGGACTGAGTGTGTGAGCGTCTAACGTGTGAGACCGTCACGTGAGACCCAGCTCAGGCGTCCTGCAGGTCTGGTGGCTGGCCAGCTCCCAGTGGGTGAAGAGGAGGGGGATCTAATTGTAATTATAAGAGGAAGCCTCAAGGCAACGTCTGAGGGTCGAGTCTTGTAATTACCCAGGACAGGATCAGCCAGAAACATCTGCACGGTTGGCTCCAAAGGACGCCGCTTGTTTCCTTAAACACAAAATAAACAGAACTCGGGAGCTGGGTCGTTTGCCACAGAAGCTCCTGATGAAAGGCGAGAGCAGCAGCTCTCTTGGGTGTGGTCCCTAGTTGTGGGGGTGGCCAGGAGCCCGACTTCTAGCCTCCTGTTGGATCGGACCGTGAAGGAAGTAGCCTTCGTGAGAGGGAAAACGATCATAACGATCAACCTCTGCGGACAGCTGACGGTGGCCAGCCCAGAGTGACAAGTCAGTGGGTCCCTGGCTCTTTGCCACAGCCTCCTAATCTTCTGCTGGAACTTCCCGTTCTGCTAAGTTGGAGCAAATGCCCGCCCCCAAGTCCTCCCCGAGCAATCCCCGCGCCTCTAGCTAACGGGATGGCAGATGTCTGGACCAAGCCCCAGAGCCCTGAGCGCACCACATCCTAATGATTTGTGGTGAACAAAGTAAATGCTTTCAAAGCAGGCTTGATGGAGCAGGGCCCCAGCTAAGGATGATGGGTTTGAGGCAGAGCCAAAAGGAGCCGGAATGGGGCATGGGGGTGTCGTTTCCCAAAACAGGACACAGGTCTCTACGGCTCGTTGCTGAGTCTAAAGCTTGGCCGGAAGAATGGCTTTTGAAAGAACTGTGCTTGTGAGGAACGTCCTTGAGGCAGGCAGGGATTCCCTCGCCCTTTCCGAAGCGTCCTTCTGAGAGGTCACAGCGGCACTGAGCTGTGTGCGAGACGGTCGCTTGGTGCCTCTGTGCTGCTGGGACCGCAGGATTGGTCCAGTGCAGACGGGGTAGATAAACTATTTTCCTTTCTTAAAAAGCACGCGTGGAAGGCAACAAGACCAGAAAATTAGCATATCTCTTCTTTTTCATTTTTTTAAAAGCAATTATACAGGAGATTCCAGTTGAAGCAAATAAAAATGATGAGTGCAAACGGGTTATTTTTTTTTCCTTTTTTTTTTTTCTAGCCGCTTCCTCAGCAACAGCCCTATGGCAAGACTTGGGTGGAGCCCGTGTTTTGACGCACCCTCTGTTCTCTTCTCCCACAGGGCAACCCCTACATGTGCAATAACGAGTGTGACGCGAGCACCCCCGAGTTGGCACACCCCCCGGAGCTGATGTTTGATTTCGAAGGAAGACACCCGTCCACCTTCTGGCAGTCCGCCACCTGGAAGGACTACCCCAAGCCTCTCCAGGTGAACATCACTCTGTCCTGGAGCAAAACCATCGAGCTCACGGACAACATCGTCATCACCTTCGAGTCGGGGCGGCCGGACCAGATGATCCTGGAGAAATCTCTGGACTACGGGCGCACATGGCAGCCCTACCAGTATTACGCCACAGACTGCCTGGATGCCTTCCACATGGACCCCAAGTCCGTGAAGGATCTATCCCAGCACACGGTCTTAGAAATCATCTGCACCGAAGAGTACTCCACGGGGTACATGACAAACAGCAAGATAATCCACTTTGAGATCAAAGACAGGTTCGCGTTTTTTGCTGGGCCCTGGCTACGCAACATGGCTTCCCTGTACGGGCAGCTGGATACAACCAAGAAGCTCCGAGATTTCTTTACGGTCACAGACCTGAGGATCCGGCTCTTGAGACCAGCCGTCGGGGAAATATACGTGGACGAGCTGCACCTGGCTCGCTACTTTTACGCCATCTCAGACATCAAGGTGCACGGGAGGTAAGAGGGCGTCTGTCCCCGCGGACGAGGATGGGGGATTCACGGAACATGCCAGGGCATGGGGCCGGCAGTGGTAGAGGGGTAGTCGTCACTCCCTGCTGCCCCAGTTTCTCAAGGGCACCCGCCTATGGGTGGGCCCTGAGGCACGTGAGAGCCTTGTGACTCAGCAGCCACTTGTAACCCCAGACTTACAGTCGTTAGAGCTAACCTGGTGGGGTTTCTTGGAATTTTAACAAAAGCCAGACAGGGCAGGGCGGGGGCAGGTTAGGGGAAGCATCTTAGACAAGGGGCTGGAAAGCAAGAAATACATCTTTCTGTTGTTTTCATACGCAAGAGAGGGTTTCGACATGGCACAGCTCTCTCTGTTTTGTTACGTTGTACAGAAAAGCTCTGGAAGTGAAAGCTGTGTTTCCTGGTAAAGGGAAGCCATATTTTTCAGGTTTTCAGATGCTGTTGTCTTAAAGAGACTCGCTGCCACTTGAAACAGGGACCTCAGTGAGGTTCCCTTCCTTCTGTGGGTCAGTTCTAGATGGGCCACTGTGCAAACGTCAGTGGGTCACACGGTCAGGCCTGCCCTTGGTCTTGATAATGTCCCGGAGACACAGCTGAGCAGGTTCCCAGGTATTCAGAAGGTGTTTACATGAAACACTGGAATAATGAGAACCAGAGCCACCACAGTAGAGATTGTCAACCCGATTTTTAAGCGTGGTATGTCGTCAAAAGAACCAGCTGGTAGAGGCTGGATCGGGAGACACTGAGGTGGGAAAACCAAAGGTAAGTGGAGTAACTGCAACATGGGAAAAAGAGAGAGCAGAGCAAAGCAGTCATCATTCTAAAAATGCCAGGATAGCTTTTAAATCAGAATACATGAAGATAAGAATATGAATGGTACATGAATCATATCGGTTTCGTTATATATAAAATTTAAACAAATAAGGCAGGGTTATTAGCCAGCATTCCTTAGGGCAGCCCAGTCTTCAGATGCTGGGTCTTGAGGTCTTGAGGCTCCCTGGCCTTTCAGAGAGCTGTCTCAACTCATCTTCTGTCACAGTGCTGTTATATTTGTGTGCCGGAGGGAAGAACAGGTCGCTGCTATGAGGGGACAGGCCAGCGTGGACACACAGAACGGTGCAGCGGGCATGACCTCCACAGTAGGGGGGTCAAGGTTCCAGCGTCTGGACTCTGGGAAGTGGCAGAAATGGGTGGCCCCCTACTCTCCAGCTTTGGTCTAGCTTCCTGTTCCCCCTGGAAGAGTTGAGGGTCTTTAGCAACGGAACCTCTTTCAAAAGTCTTCACCAAGGTGACGGCCATGTCGGATAATGATATCTTTAAAGCGAAGCAATGTTTCTGAGAGAAATAGGCTCTGGTACAATTGTGAGCTTATGGGTTCCAGGGCGTAGAAGACAGTCCACGTGTGAGCAGAGGACCTCGAGGACCCGGTGGGAACCGTAGCCTTACACAGGAGTTTGCTGTCTGAGGTGAAATACCGTCATTGCGTTCATGAATATCTTAGCAGGAGCTGATCAGTTCCCGGGATCTTATTTTGGGGCCCTGTGATAATATACAAATAAGTGATGCTGGTATTATTCACAATAGCATTCCACAGCAAAGCAACCAGTATTCTGTGCAGCCACAAGAATCAATGTCAAACTACATAAGTGGAGGTTTGAATTTAGATCCTCGTGGGATCCACATTGTTAGGTGGAGTTCTCTAGGTCAGCCTCTCCGCAGTTCGAGAGACCCTTAGCCTAAGCCAAAGTCCCTGTAGCCCAGCTCCCCCACCCGCACTTTCCACGTGTACAGAAGACAGTTTGTGAAGGGTTTTGGTTGGGAAATAACCATTGTTAGGGCATATTTCTCTTACTGCACATTCACTTTTGTACCTTCTGATTATTTTCAAAAGAGTGGGATACGCTTCGAAGCTACAGGTTTTTATGCATTCTCTACTGGGGTCAGACGCACTGTCTCCTGCAGACGGCGTGTCAGAAATGTAAAATCCCGCCGGATGCAACACTGCTCTGCTGTCCCGCATCCGGGCGGTGTCCCCCGACTGCATTTCCTTGGCTCCCAGGAGTTTGGAGGGGCCCTCCCCCTCTCCCTGGGACTCACCTCCACTGTCTTTTCCTGTTCACCAGTCAGCGATCACTGGGGAGCCAGCAGCCAGGCAAGGGAGGAAGGTGCAGGAGAGGTGAGCCCCTTCCTTAAGGTCCCCTCCTGCTACCTCCAAATTCTCTCCAAATTCCTCAGGGCAAAACGGCCGTTGGCATGCACCGTGGAGGCGCCAGATGGCTGGGGTATTTTTAGTCTTAGGGGAGGGACTAAGAAGCAAGGCCTGAAGGCTCGGGCGTGTCTCCAGCTTCTCAGTTATATAAGGGATCGCGGAACCACTGAAGAGAGCCGCTGCCTCCGCCACGGATCTCTCCGCACAGAAGCTGGGAGATGTTTTACCCTTGAACACTTCAGCCTAGTTTGTCTTCTTCGTATACGGCACATCACGCGTGGGAGCATTCACTGATGGTCTCCAGAGGGAAGTTCCAAAGGTTCCTTTTCAAGAACGTCGCCAATAGAAACCTTCCAAAACGGTGGTTTCAGTCAACGCCTCCTTCCTCCATGCATGGAATTGACTCGCAACACTGAACGAGCATGCCTTTCCCGTGCCCGCACGTGATCATTGTAATGATGTTTTTCTGCCGGTCACTCCACTAGAGTGTGGGAGCTGGCGTGAGTGATTTGGGGAAGGGAGGGAAATTGCCACAGACGTGTGGCCAGAGCGTCCACGCGTTTTCACCTGGAAATACTAAGCTGTGAAACTAAAACAGTGGCAGAACCTCTGAGCTGGCTGTGAGTTCCAGTTCTTTCTTTTTGGCGTACCAGTGAGCAGGGTGTTTGCGCTTCACACCTGCTACTACTGTGGGGTGTAAAAATAACGTCGTGATTGTCATGAGAGAGACAAACGTCGCATTTAGGTTCTTTTTAGCAGGTGACGCCTCTGTGCCTATTTGGTGGCAGAACCTATATTCCCATCGTAAGTACCGTGGTCCTCTCTGGCTCCGTGCTCACAGTGCTGCCTCTTCCTTCCTCTCAGCGCGTGCTCATTAAGGTCCTGGAGGAGAAAGATGGCTGTTGGCGATCGGGGACGTGGCGGTCCGTCCAATCAGCCTAATAATCTGCACGGACTAATTCTGACTTACGGATGCTCTCCTTCAGTAAATCAGGCTGATTTTCTCTAATGAATAATAGATGAGTCAAGTGTGCCAGCGCCTTAATTAAAGAGTGGTTCTCTCCGTCTTGATCTCATTTTAATTTACAGGGTAATGCTACAATAATATCACTAATGGAAGGTACATTAAAGGACATCAAGTAGCATTAACTGTATTAAATTATGGTACTTGTGTTAATTAACTGCTGAAGCAAGATGGTTTTAATGGCCAAAAAGGTCCTCTAATGCATAAATAAGATCTACCCAAACGAGAGGTGAGGGGAGGAATGGACAGGAGGTGTTTGTTCTGAACATCTTTCCACACTGGCAGCAAGTTTAAACTCATGAGCTGTTAAATGTTCTGAAATGTTTTCTTAGTTACACATGGAGAGGTTTGATTTTTACATGTTTTGTTTCCTTCTAAGCATTTCATAATTAAATGGAAAGTTGACCCTTGTATTTGTCAGAGGCATCGATTTTATAGACTATAAACTCAACCTTATTTATTGCTTCTTTGAGGTAAACAGTTTCAAGGAAGTGATGCGGTTTATTGTAATAAGTGTGAAATCTGAAAGACAAATGAGTGTATGAAAATGTGCTCATTTATTTGTAAGGTGTGCTGTCGGCAATGAGTGACGATACTGATTCCAGCGCCAGATCACAGAAATTCTTTTTCAACCTCAAGAACTTTAGGACAGAACTGTAAGCACTTTTCTCCGTGGCCTGGAGAACTCGCACCCACATCCCTCCTCCCCTCCTTGTTCCACAATATCCCCGCACAGAACCGTCAGTAATTTCCCTCAGTGGTGTTTACCCGGGTCTTACCCAGCGCCATGCCTACCCACGCTCTTTACAGGTCGTTGGCTCTCAGTTACTGTTTGCAGAGCGGACTTTGCCTTCAGTACCTCTGTTGTTCATCTCCGGGAAGGGAGCCACGGAGAGCCGGCAAGAAGTTCCTCTTCTCCAAGCTTTCTGGTGCTGCCCCAGCTCGGAGCCACGCTGTCCCTGTCTAATCCCAGGGTCTGGAAAGGCCCAGGGACAGAGCCGCTGGGGGTTGGGGTGAGGCTGGCCCCTGCGCTGTCACCCCCGGTAGGAACCAGCTATGCCCGTAAACCCTCACTGTCTGCATGCCACCACCTTGGTATTTGCTATAATTAGGACAGAAGGAGGTTGAACTCAACCTTCTGGAATCAAGGTCTCCAACTGGTGACTAGAAAAATATGTGACATTAAGCAAGCAAGAATGCCGCGGGGGAGTTTAGAGGTACAAAAGCAGCAGGGCGTTCTCCGTGTTTTCTCAGATAATTTGGAAAAATATGTAACGCAGGAGCGATCTGCCGATGACAAAAGGCCTCCCAGCCAGCCATCCTGCCAGTTCGCCTAGTGTGTTTCCCACCCACCGTTTGAATCCGTCCGCCAGAATATTTACTCCTCACCTCTCATGTGAGAGGCGCCAGAGCATCGGGGCTGGCACGCATTCCTTCTTCCCAATTAGTCCTAATTATTGAAGTTGGGTTTTACCACCGCTTAGCAGATTCTGCTTTTGTAACACCTTTCCATCAGCAGTAAATACTCACCCTCCACGCTGGGCCAGGCGCTGGGCGGGACGGTGGACATACGGAGACTCACAGGTGTCGCCGGTGCTCGTGAGAAGCTGATGTCCAGGGGGCCGCAGACACGCAGGCAGAAAAGGATGGTGGGGGTCGGGGGGTGAGCACTTCCACCGTGCGAGCATGGAAAGTGCGCTGGCAACAGAGAGCATGCGCATGTAATCCAGGAAGCCCAGCAAAATCCTTGATGAG